GGCAGTTTGCAGTGACCCCCTGGCTTGGCAGGGATTCCCTGCCCAGCCAGAGGGTTGCTGCTATGGCCCTATGTTCAGACTGGGGCAGGGGGCTAGGACCTGCCCCTCCCATGCAGCTCTTTACAAGCTCATGCCTTGATAGCCCAATCATGGTACAGGTCTGGGACCTGCCCCAGACTGGGATAGTTTATGGATAGTCCCAGGCTGTGGGAGGAAATCTCCATATGCACCCCATTTGACAGAAGGTAAGAAAGAAAGGTAAAAGGGTAAATAAGTAGGAAAAGAAAACCAATCCATGAGATTAGGGGTGACACTAACTACCCAAGTTCAGGGTTTAGACGAGGGGTGGGCAAAATACAGACATTCTATCCAGCCTGCAGGGTCCCTAAAAAATTTAGAAAATTAATATTTATCTGTCCTTGGTTCCTGTCAAAAATGACAAGAGCCAGGGGCAGTAGGACCCAGGGGAAGCCCCAGTGGGCTCCTGCAACAGCAGGGCCCACCTAGTCCCGCCCCCTCAGCTGGAAGCCCCAGTAGGGGCTTCTGGCCTGGGACCATGTGGCTGCACTGGTGCCGGAAACTCAGGTAAAGGGGAGTGGGGGAAGGGCAGGGGAGGAGCTGGTGCTGAGCACGGGAAAAAGCAGCCCCTCCCCTGTCCCATGGCCAGCACTCCCTGCTGCAGCCACTCACAGTCCGTACAGGGCTGTCCTAAGCAGGCATAGGCAGCCTCAGCCAGGCTGCGAGCAGCTGCAGCGCAGGGCACTGGCCACGGGATGGGCGAGGGGCCGCTTTTCCCCACACTCAGCACCAGGTTGTAACCCACACCTGTTGCCAGTCTGGGCCCTGCACCGGCTCAGGGCTCGCCTGTTGAGGCTGCACCACAGCGGCAGCAGGTGCTCAGCACAGAGGAAAGTGGCGCCCCCGCTTGCCATGCTGGGCAGTGTTTGCTGCTGCTGCCCACCCAGAGCTTGCGTGCTGAGCAGCATGGGGGCAGCAGCAGCAGCAAACACTGCCCAGCACGGCAAGCGGGAGAGCTGCTTTCCTTTGCACCGAGCAGCTGCTGCCGCCGCAGCGCAGCCCCAACGGGTGAGGGCCCAGGGCACATGGCCCAGACTGGCAGCAGGGAGTGGGTTACAAGCTGGTGCTGAGCACAGGAAATGCGGCCCCTTGACCGCCCTGTGCCCGGCACCCCACGCTGCAGCTTCTTGCAGTCCACCTGAGGCTGCCTGTGCCTGCTCAGGACAGATCCGTGCAGACTGTGAGCATCTGCAGCAGGGAGCGCCGGCCACAGGGCGGGGGAGCGGCCACTTTTCCCCTATGCTCAGCACCAGCTACTTCCCTGCCAGCGAGCAGAGGGTCGGGGTTGCGTACTGCCTCCCACCTCTACCGTGGGACTAGGGGGCACTAGTAGTGAGCGGGAGCCAGCAAGAACATGGGGCCCACACTGGTGTCCTGGGGCCAGTGCTGGTGGGGCCAAGAGCAGGGTGGCAGGAGCACGGGGTCCCAGCTGGCAGGGGAGAGTCCTGGCCAGTGGGGGTTCTATGGAGCCGGGCCAGCTCCCCCCTCTTCCTGCTGGTGCAGCTCAGCCCGGCTCCACAGACCCCTGCCAGCCTGTGCCCCACTCTGGGCCCCACCGGTGCTGGCCATTGATTCAGACATTGGTCCCAAGACATTGGGATATTGGTCCCAAGATGGTGACCAGGGAGTGGGGCTCTTTTCAAGGGGTGGGGCTACCCATGCAGCCCTTGACAGCTTGCCAAAACTGGGTAAGCAGCCCTCCGCCCAAAATAATTGCCTGCCCCTGGTTTAGCCAGACTCTATGGAAGCAGCAATGGTATATGTTTCCTCGTTAGCCCTGTCTAATCAGAATGCTTTTCGGGATCAGGAGAGTGCAGACCTAATAGTGATAAGGTGGATCCCAGCTGACACTGGGCTGGCAGATGTAATTGTAAAGCTTGTTGCACTCAGACTGTTTTTTCCTGATTTCTCCCATTTTAGTGAGCCACAGATAGACAGTGTTTAAGAAGGAATGGCAACTGTGTTTTGATAGGAAAGAATACATTTAAATTACTCCAAATGGAAATATTTCCTCCCATTTATGTAGGATCTTTCAGTTCAATGTTGTGCTAATTAATATGATTTTTGCCAGGTGCCTTGCAGCCCTCCATATTTTAATTCTATTAATTTGCTCAATCCAGTTTGTACCATTGCTAGTTAGTTTTTGCCTTTTTAGTTTTGCATACAGGTTTTATAGTGCAATGATTTGGAGTTTTATTACACATAACAGCTTTTAGCAAAGGTTTCTGTGCACTAATACCTCACCCAAGATAGTTTTAACAACGCTGTGGTATTCCCTTATGTGAGGGCCAAATTAAGGGAATATGTGTACTGCATCTTTCTAATAATTATCAGTTTCTTAGAAGGCTTCTCTAATTACTTAATTTTGCAGAACTTTTTCATTCTAATCATTCTCTTATTTTCTTCCATCTGGTCTCTTTCTTGATTTTAACCCACTTACTGAAAATTGCTTAAAGCCTCATTGTCTTGTATATGATTTTTTTTTCTACCTATAACACTTAATCTTGTCAAGATTAAGATGCCAAGAATAGCTATAAAACCACAGTAATTTTTTATCATTGTGTTCAGACTATAATCCCAAGCTCCCCCTGTACCTGCAAGTAGCAAGGTCCCATGCCTGGGAGCCCCATCAGCTGCTGGTTAATGATGCCTTAAGTGTAACATGACACAGGCCTCAGAAAACCTTCCTGAAGAAAACATTAAAAAAGGCTGTCTCTGTTAAATGTTTCAGATTGGATGAAATAGCATTGTCTGCTGAAATGTCCTGACCAGTACTAATTTCCAGCTTTAATGCTACAGTACTTAGAAGCTTCAAGCTTCGTGCTCGACTAAGCTTCATGCTTGACCAAACTACTTACAAGCTAGTTACTTCATATTGGTGATGTGTTGAGTTGATGCCAATGTACTGTTTGCATCCCTGAAACCTGTACCTTCTGTGCTGCTGAATTTACATTCCTTAATGATGTTTGAATAAGTCAATTTTGATAAAAAGCATTAGCTTGATAATATTGGTATATGTCTACTTTTTCTGCTTTTTCTGTACAGAAAGGGGAATGACACTATGGCTGGGGATAGACATTCAAAAAGCCTGAGCCTGAATTGATTCAATCTTTTCAGGTTAGTTTAAACTGCAAAGCTTGAACTGATTTGCAGGTGGATAGACATTCCCTTTTAATTCCAGAAATGCAGATGCATGCCTGCACTGGCTCAGGCTAGAAGCTGGGGGATGCTAGAGGAGCCCTCCTTCCTCTTCCACAATGCTGAGCTGAGGAGGTCATGGCCAGGCTCTGGCAGGACACTCTGATGTCTCCCCACCCCAACCCAGCAGCCCAGGAGGGAATGTTTATCACCCCTGACTCAGTGTTTATCAACCCATTAAGAAATGAAAGCCTCTCTCCAAGCTCTTTTGTGACAGGGGGCAAGCTCGAGGAAAATTTTGAGTCAGCCCACCCAGTCTTTCCTGCCACGACTTTGCTGATACATTGTACTGGTAGATAATGCGGGAGACTGCCCATTACCAGCCCCAATGCCAAGGGGCGCTATCCGCAGCTCTGAACCTCCCCTACACTGGAGCCCATGCCTCGCAGATGGCATCCAGCTGATACTCTCAACCCTAACTCACTCTCACGACATTGGAGGACATACAGGGATTACTTCGACCCATACACGCGGCCTGTGGCAGAATACCCTCTCTCCCCCAAAACTCCTCTGTCTGACAGTTTGGTTACCATGGTCACTGAAAAGGGCAGACACCTCTGCCCCATCTCTTCAGGTAACCCTGAGTTGTAACCTGAGCTGGATACATTCCTGAGGGAGTGGGGAAACCTGCTCCCTCTGCCTACATGACTGGCATCACATACTTGGTAGGGCTGTGCAAAATTTCACCGGCAGTTTCATTTTGATGCTGTTTTGACTTGTTTCAAGCTCGAAACAGTGAAATTGGAATGAAACAGAGAACTTCAAAACAGCTTCGAAACAAAAAGAGGCAAGTTGAAGCTTTTCAAAATGTTTTGAGTTTTGAAGCTCAAGCTGGGCTTGCCTGTGGGGAAACAGAAACTGAAGTAAGGAGAGGGAGGGGAAGAGGGCGGAAGTGGGGGGAAGGAGTGCTCTCATTATTGACTGTGTAGCTGGCCAGTGACTGTCATCCTTCCCTGAGGCCCCTTCCAATCCTAGTACTCTGGGGGTAGGATGGAAAAACTGCATAAAAGGTGGCATTGTTTGAACTGCCCTGCTTTCTGCCTTGGTGTCAGTTAGTGAGCTGTGTGTTCCAGCAGCTCAGCGTCAGACAACTATGACTCGCAGCACTGATCTTCTAAAGGATTCCCTACTTGCTTAACAAGAGGGATTTGAGATTCAGAATACCTTTTTCTTCGAGGCTTTTTTATTTTATGATATTCATTGATTCATTCTTTTGAATTCTATAATTATATTGGATAGGATTACTGTAGAATTTTATTTATATAGCAAGCAAAATACATTTATATTTTATTTCTATACATTTAAAGCTTTGCAGCATACATTATAGAATTTATATAGGGACAAAGCCATATTTTCATTTACTTTTATACATTTCTTATTTGCGCCACACAACTAACTACACTCTTGCACCCACAGTTTTGAATTTATACAGGGGCTAAGCCATATACTTGCCATTTAATTTAACATTTCTTATTTGCATCACACATACCCCTACTAGTACCACCAATGATCTTGCATCCACACTTTTGAATTTATACAGGGGCTAAGCCATATACTTGCTGTTTAACATTTTGTATTTGCACCAGACACCTACATTAATTTTTATAGGAACGCAAATTCATTTATATACTTGTAGAAAAGGAAGACATGAAACACACCATGAAGCATGGTGGAAAGGTAGGTGGCCACACTGGCCAGCTTTCAGGGAGGGGTAGAAGAGGAGGTAGAGGGAGAGCTGTACGTTTTTCCCTGCACCCCAAAACTGAGATGCAGCCTCTTTCCTCCAGCTAAAAGAGATGAGGCTGCTACAAGCAGTAAGGAGAGGGGAGCAATGCCAGTGCCACTGCCTGTGCCCAAGACTGCATCCCAGCCACGCGCACCAGCCATAACCCCCCCCCCCCACCACCATGCCTTTCAGTGCCAGAGAAAGAGCTGGTGCTGGATCTGGATCTCAGTGCCTTAGCAAGGGAAATTCTGGGGAAGAAGGGGGAATCAGCTCAGTTTGTGCTTGACATCCCTCAAGATTCCCCCAGAACCAGGTCTCCTTCCCCAGAAGGCACTTCGAAGGAGGCTGATGTGCAGGTGGAGGCAAGCGGCTCAGCTGAGTCCACTCCACCTCTTGCTGAGCCTCTGCCTACTGAGGAGAAGGAAAGTGCAGCAACATCCACAGATACACCCCACCGCACCTGCTTAGATCCTGGTTTGATGGAGCAGCTAGTGTTCTTGAAGGTGAACCCCCCGCAGCCTGTCCCTCATCCCCTGATGCCTCCATTTCCATTTTCACTGACTGGCTTTCTTGCCTGCATTGCATGCAAGGCCAGCCTTTGGCTTCTTTCCTATTCCTTCCATCCAGGACCAGGAGACACACCAACTGCAGGTACTTCCTCACCCTGACAAAGCATTTTCAACCTGAAAGATTCCTAAGAGATATTTCTCTAACTATTCCATTTTTTTTCATAATAAACATATAAACATAAAAACACAAGATAAGCCATCACACACCACAAGTAACATATATCCAACACAACATCTTTACTTCTTGCTGCCCATTTCTTTATAAAAAGAAAGGCTCTGTGACAGTTCAGTTTGGCTACCTTAGAACCTGCTGGTGCTACTGGTGCTGACTGCTGAATAGCTAGGATGGCTGATGAGCATGACCATATGACTGTGGCTGACTTGAAAGAGGCGATGAAAGAGAGAGTCCTTCCAGTGAGGAAGGAGCAAAAAAGAGAGGACCTAATTAAGATCCTGTGTAATAATGAGCAGGCCACAAGATCACTTCCACGCATCCATCCAGAACCTACTGCGGGCCCCGAGGGGCCATCCTCTAAGTGGGACCTCCAGAAATACCAGCTGCAGCTAGAACATGAGAAGCACATGCGCAAGCTAGAGCTGAAGTGGATGGAGAAGGTGAAGAAGGAGGCCCAGTGTGAGCATGAAGCTAGAAAGGTCCAGCACAAAGTAGAGGCTGGAAAGGCAAGTCTCAAGCATGAGCATGTGCTTGAACTACTTCAGAATCTACTACAGCAAAAAGCAGACAAGCGCCAACATAAGTAAGAAGCCAAAAAGGACACCCTAGTCTTGAACCTGTATAAACACAGAGAGGATCCAGAAGTGTTCATGAGTGACTTCCTGGACATGGTAACTCACCAACACAACAAAAAGGTGACAGCGGAAGACAGGAAAACCACCCAGAGTAAGGTCACTCAATTGGTTGCAGAGGCAGAGGGAGAGACCCCTCCTGACTGTAACCGTCCTCCAGCCACTGAGGAAACTAGCGACATTGAGGTTGGGTTAAGTGACTGCCCCAGGGAGGAGTCTGGTCAGTCAGTGGCAGAGAAAACCAAGACTCTTGGGGAGAAGTTGGAGGACATCCTTGAAAGTGAAGGTGCACTCTTTACAGGACCACCAGAACTCCCCGCTGATTGCTTAGCCAGGCAAAAGGAGTTCAAACAGGAGGTTCTACAGGACCCCAGCTTGGAGGAACTCTGGCAGATGGGTCAGGAGCCAGAGACAGAGTTCACCCCAGATAAGAGGGAACAGGTGGTCTGGGATTAGGGACTTCTCTATCAGTTGTGGGTACCAAAGAACCATGCTGAGACCTGGGAGTTCCATCGCCAGCTCATAGTACCTCTTAAGTTCAGACAACAATTACTTTCTATGGCTTATGATTTACCTTGTGCTGGTCACATGGTCAGGGAACGGACACACCAGCAGCTGCAGGTGAATTTTTATTGGCCCAGAATTGCCCAGAATGTGACAGACTACTGCAGATCTTGTGAGACATACCAGCAGACAGGCAGAAGTGGGGACAAGAGAAAGGCTCCCCTACAGCCCCTCCCTATCATTGCTCAACCCTTCCAAAGAGTGGGTATAGAAATTGTGGGCCCTCTCAGGCATAAGACTCATAGAGGGAAGAAATACACCCTGACTCTAGTGGATTTTGCAACTCAGTACCCAGAGGCAGTTGCCTTGACCTCCACTGAGGTACCTGTAATTGCTGAAGCCCTGACCAAGACCTTCTTTCAGCTGGGATTCCGCTCTGAGATCCTGACTGACAGGGGTAGGAACTTCCTGGCTGAGGTGATGAAGTGCCTGTGGGAATGCTGTGGGATGAAATACCTCAAGACCACAGCCTACCACCCCCAGACAAATGGGCTCGTAGAAAAGTTCAGTGGCACCTTGAAAGGTATGCTAAAGGCCTATATGGACTCTAACCCCAATGACTGGGATGAAAAACTTCTGCATTTGCTCTTTGCCTACCAGGAGGCACCCCAAGAGTCAACCAGGTTCTTGCCATTCGAGCTGGTGTTCAGAAGGCAAGTTAAGGGTCCTCTTGACTTGATGAGAGAAGAGTGGGAAGGCAAAATCACTTCCACTAAGACTTCCATGGTAGAGCTCGTGCTCAGCTTTCGCCAGAAGGTAACTGATGTGATGAAGGTGGCACGAGACTCCCTGGCCCAGGCCCAGGCCCAGGAGAAGCAAAGTGTCTGGTATGATGAAAAGGCTCGCTTACGTAACTTTGAACGAGGGGATAAGGTCATGGTTTTCCTGCCACTGAAAACAGACAAGCTGCAAGCAGCTTGGGACGGTCCCCATATCATCCTGGATAGCCTGGATGATGTGACTTATGTAGTCACCAGGAGCGGGTCAGACAAGAAGCCTAAGCTAGTACATGTGGACATGCTTAAACCGTATTTTAATAGAAGTAATGTAGTACTCTGGATTTCCTCAGCTTAACGATCACCCGGAGGAGCCAGTCATGTATGACAACAGGGATGGAGGGGCAGGAATAGAGGAACTCCACCTGCCAGATCATCTGCCCTCCCAGGACAAGGACAAGTTACTTTCAGCACTCAAGGGCTTTGAGACAGTGTTCTCAAACAAACCAGGTAAAACGGACCTGGCAGTAAACTCTA